CAAGACTGTAATTCCAAAACAGAATATACTTAAGTGCTTAAAGTTATGGACAGAGCAAGTGCTACTTGGGTACGAAGTTCCAGAAACACCCACAGCTTGCTACCTACATTGTCCGCCACTTTGAAGTCTGGGTGGTGGCAAGGACGTGTTGAATTTGTGAGAATGAGGTGTCTTGCTTTAGAAAGTGTGTGTGTTCTCCCTGCAGGCATGGGACCCGCTGTGCTGGAGAAGTGGCCGCCGCAGCAAACAACTCTCACTGCACAGTTGGAATTGCTTTCAACGCCAAGATCGGAGGTATGGGAAAGAAACTTCCACAGATAGAGAACCAAGCTAAGAACTCTCATGCTAACTGGTTTTCAGAACCCTTTTTGAACCAGAGACAGGCATATGTTTGCATAATCGTGTTTGACGAGTGCTAACAGCAAACTGACTGTGTTAACCAGTGTTATTAAATCCAGTTAAAGACTTCTGAGTGGTCCCCCTAACGTGTTGCAAACACAAGCATTTCTTTCTTTAAACAGGCATGAAAAAAAGATTGTCCAGCAGTGAAGTTGCAGCCATTGGCATCTGTACTGGACTATACAATTGGGACCTAGGTCAGAAAGAACTAATAATATAAATACCAGGTCATAATATCGCTATGGAAAGAAGCATTTTGGAATTCTATCAAAGCAGAAAATATTGTTTTTCTTTTCCTTAGGCTTTACAAAAAGTTCCTTTTCATTGGAATTAAAAAAGTAAATAGTAAAATCTCCTTTTACAGTCCCAGAATGTAGTCATACTGTTACTATTAATAATTGCAGATTACACACACACACACACACAAACACACATACATGTAGACTTACATACACATATGCTTACTACAAGGACCCGACCAAAGCAGTATAAATTTAGACATTAATAGAAGCAAACCCTTACTTCCCCATTTACAGTCATCTTTGTCTGTATAGCCTGGTGCCGCAGCCACAGACAAATGGAAGGAAAACATTGTAAGAGATGGTATAGATCCTATTGGCATCTCCTAAAGGGTACCGTAAGATGAATTTCCTGGAACCAGGCTGACATCCTTGATTCCACTATATTATTTGTTTCCAAATGGAGAACAGAGTTGGACCTAAAAAATGAAAATGATAGTCCTTTCTAGGCTAAGTGTAGACATTTGTGATGTGAAATAATTGGGGTATATCATAATGGTGCTAAGAATAGATTTTCTGAGATCATCTTGTGTGTCAGTCCTCAGTAAATTTGCCCTCTTTTTTCCTTTATTTCATCACAGATTTTTAAGAGTGTGGCAGCTTGTTAACCAGTAATTAGCTGAATTCTGAGGGCATCTGCTGTGTGTCAGGGGAAGGTTCACAGAGGAGTTATGGGAAGGAGACAGACCTCCTCTGAAGAACCATGAGGGTGCTGGAGGCTCCTGCTCTCCTGAGGACAGTCAGATGACTGGTGTCTACCGGGCAAACCCACTTACTGCCCAGCACACACACACTCACATACAGACACACTTCCAGGTCCCTGCCTTTCCTCTTCATCACTAACCCAGCATTTCTGACCTGGAGGAAGTGAAGGGATGAACTTGTGAACCTTACAGATGAACTGCTGGCCTAGCTGAGCAGGACCTCTGAAAGAAAAGAGTGTATAACAGTGAGTGACAAGTGCCCTGTCCTTCTAAAAACAAGAACATTGTAAATTATAAACGTAATCCCCTTAGGCCCAAGGCATGAAGGCTTGCGGTTAGTTAAGTGAAGAAAACGGAACCTTTCGTCTTTTAACTTGGGAAAACAAAATTCTTATTCATCATTTTTTGGTCAGAAAATTAGTATTACCTTCTAGGTATGATTCTTATCAAGCATTTTTTTCATGGGCTTCACATAAATTGCATGATGCAGAAACTAAATTCAGGTGTTGTGTAGATACTCCTGTGTTTAGACATACTGGTTAGATTACTTTGGAGTGCTTATATAGTCCAGTATTTATTTCAGACCTCCCTGTACTAAAATAGTTCCATTCTGTGCTTTTAAATAGAAGGTAAGACTAGGAAGTAGTTCATCTTCATTTGGTAAAAACCATGCAGGTGAACTTTGAATATTCACGTCAAATCAAAACAAACCAGTAGCTGCTAAGGACCCAGTATATGCAGAGCGCCCTGCTGGGAATTTTCCTTCCACAAAACAAACTGCTGACAAGCTTTCTAAGTACAGTTTCCATCCCATAAGTTTTAAAGAGACTTGTTCAAAACCTTTGCTCTCCACATCATCTGTTTATGTACATCTCCTTTCAAAATACTTAAGTCTAGAGGAAAAGATAGTCAAGAGACGTAGCAACCAAATGCAATGTCTTCAGGGATGCTTTGGGTAAATTTAACTGTTGACTGGGTGTTTATTTCCATTATGTTTTTGGAAAAAATATTAAAGGATAGAGTGTCATAGCTGTCATGTAATTTAAAATGGCTTAGCCTATTAGTTATATTTTTAGATGAAGAAAATGTGGCAAAATGTTAACAGTAGTTGAGTACTGGCTGTATCCATGTTCATTGTCATTCTTTCTGTTTTTCTGTGTTTATAGTTTTATAGTTAAAAAAGTACAAAGGTGTGTTTCCTTCAATAGTATTTTTATATTCTACCAGAATTCCCACCTCATACCACATAGCATTTAAAGCTGTCTGATTTGAGGTTTTATTATTTAATCCTCATTTATTGGTAACCAATTAAAACTTAAAATCCTACCAGATAGCAAGACTTTCCCATGGAGTAAGTTTGGGCTGTAAAGATACAATTTTAAATGAATATAGTGTCTCAGTGATGGTATTTAGAGTTAGCTTAAGGAAAGATATGTTTGCTTAAGGATTAGATTTTTATTGTTGTTATGAGTCTCCTCAACAAAAAAAGGGAAAGCTTGGTATTTGACATATAATTTATTTTTTAGTATCTTAGTGTCTGTTTTTGCAAATTAAGGTTAATAATAAATGCCTATCTGTCTGGTGGGAATACTTACATGAAAATTAATGAACATTGCCAAAACCCTTTGAGAATTGTGTGATGTGTTACATGCACAGAGGGCATTCTCATTTATTATTTGACTTATAAATAACTTGGCAAAGAAGTGATATGTTAAGTTCACATCAGTCGTACAGATTAGGAGGTAATATTAAGTATGGAGGAAATTGGACTACTCTAACTTGGCAGCTCTCCAAATTTTGGAAGACTGCTGGAGTGAGAATGTTTTATACCAATTAGTGAGCACAAGTTATCTAATGAGAAATTTAGGGAAGATGGATTTCTTGAGACTTTGTCAAGTACTCACTCAGGAATTAAGAGGAGGGAGAGAATGTGGAAACTTAGAAAAAGAGAACAATGGATAAAGGTTTTCAAGAAAATTTGCTCTTTTACAAGCAATGTAACTTCCTTTCCCCACAAGAAAGCTTCGGAAAAATCTTGCCCTCTTGTTTCCTGCTCATTTTTTTGTGTGTTCTTTTTTTTAAATTGAGTTATAGTCAGTTTACAATGTTGTATCAGTTTCCAGTGTAGAGCACAATTTTTCAGTTACACATGAACATACATATATTCATTGTCTCATTCTTTTTCTCTGTGAGCTACCATAAGATCTTGTATATATTTCCCTGTGCTATACAGTATAATCTTGTTTATCTATTCTACATGTGCCTGTTGGTATCTACAAATTTCCAACTCCCAGTGTGTCCCTTCTCACCCCCCTCCCCCCTGGCAACCACAAGTTTGTATTCTGTGAGTCTATGAGTCTGTTTCTGTTTTGTATTTATGTTCACTTTTGTTTAAGATGTTCTTTTAAATGTTGATAAAGTTTATTCTTTCCTTAAAAAAAAAATGCTACGATTGAAATATGTCTTGGTCTGTTTGGGTGTCATACAGTTAAGCGTCCAGTAGAGTTATTTCCCCTTTCTGTCTTGAAGGAGTTCGAATGCTGGATGGAGATGTCACGGATATGGTTGAAGCCAAGTCAGTTAGCTTCAATCCCCAGCACGTACACATTTACAGCGCCAGCTGGGGCCCAGATGATGATGGCAAGACTGTGGACGGACCAGCTCCACTCACCCGGCAAGCCTTTGAAAACGGCGTTAGAATGGTAAGTCTTAAAAGCACCTTAACTCAAACTGTCGATTGGTGATAATTCGCATATGAAGTCATCTCTGAGCTCTAGGCTGAGCCGGTAGACAGGTTCATGGAGAGGGATGCCAAACCTTTAGGGGTCTGTGTTGTTACCTTTTCTGCAGATCAGCTAAGGGCTTAGAGAGTTTCCTCTGATGAAAACAGAGGAGTATTTGGATGCTTAGATTTGTTCAAAGGAAATACTCATTAATATGTTAATACTCATCTGTATGTTAATCTTGGATTTGGAGAAATAAGTTCTCCACTGTGAGACTGAGAATTGAAAATGTTGAAACTGTCCAGTTGGTGTTGATAGATCATCCAGCAGCGCCCTTCTGGGCATCTCCCTTGTGCAGTCTCTTCCCTCGCTTCACCTGTGTCCCAGGACAATATGATTTTTATGGCTGTTACCACATTCCCTAACCAGGCAGCTTAACTCATCTTCCTTGACTTTACTAAAAACTTCCTCCCCGCAAAACTGACCATATAATCTAATGTAACAAAATATCTGTTTCAAATTACAGACCTTAAGAAATGCTACCTTATTTGAATATAGTAAAAAAAAAAAGGGGGGGGGAGGCTATATACTTACAATCCTGAAAGGAGCAGAGGTCCACCAGAAGCAATTCCTTTCTCTTCCTTACTTGTGAATAGACCATTGAGTGATTTAAAGCATACATTTTTTAATTTAGAAAAATTTTATTGAAGTATTATTGATTATAGTATTATAAATTACAGAGGCACAATATAGTGATTCACAATTTTTAAAGGTCATACTCCATTTATAGTTATTATAAAACATTGGCTGTATTCCCCCTGTTGTACAATGTATCCTTGTAGCTTATTTTATACTTAATAGTTGGTACTTCTTAACCCTCTATCCCTATATTGCCCCCCCACCCCCACTGGTAACCTGAGGTTTGTTTTCTGTGTCTGAGTCTTTCATCATGTTCATGTTAGGCCATCACTGATCGCAGCCTAACCTCTTTTTGCTTCCTCATTTCTTTTTACTTTGTAAGAATATAAGCATACTCCACTCTTATTTTTAATTGAATATAGTTGATTTACAATCTCGTGTCAGTTTTAGAGGTACAGCAAAGTGATCCAGATGCACACGTATTTTTTCGGATTATTGTCTATAATGGGTTATTACAATATATTGAATCAGTTCCCCGTGCTATACAGTAAATCCTTGTTGCTTATCGATTTTATGTGCAGTGGTTTGCATCTGTTAATCCCATACTCCTAATTTATCCCTCCCCCCTACGCTCCCCTTTGGTAACCTGAGTGTTTTTTCCTGTGTCTGTAAAGCGTGCTCCACTCTTTCTCACCATAGGCACGTGCTGCTTTCTCTGCAGTGTGCAGTCCTTGCCTCTCTCCCATGACCCACTACGATACAGACAAACCCTATTTGACCATCAGACGTCAGCTGAACTATTACCTCTCCCCAGAAGCCTTCTCACTGCCCAAACTAGAACTGCGTATATGTGATCCCTCTCCTATACTTGCTCTTCTCACTGGTGGCATGTATAGTCTTTATCATATTGTGCTTTATATTAGAGTTAGTTTTCCTGTATCTTCCTCACTAAATGGTAAGTTCCTAGAGAGCAGAACTTGTGTTCTATGCATCTTTATGGGCTTTACAAAAGCCATAAAGCACATTGAATTCTAGTGGGTACTCAGTAAATGTTTGTTGAATTTAATTTAATTTACTGCGAATTATGCTAACCATAGGGTTGTTATAAATTCAGCCCAGATTTGGAGCAGTGGAATGCATGCATTTCATTAATGTAATGTAGCTGGAGGACAAATAATTATGATTCTTCCACCTTTGTGGGATTGGTGCTAGAGTTTTAATCAGAAGGCTGAGCTAGGCTGTCTCCTGGTTATTCTGAAATAGATTGGAGGGAAAGCTTCTGCACTTGCTCTGTACGTACTTTCTAACTCAGAGATAGTCCGTATTTGGTTAAGACATACTTTTATAGCTCTGTCAATTTTCAGCTACGTTAGAGCTCTTTTAAACAAGAGAATAATATTCTAAGTTGTTGCCTGGAACTTTCCTTTCAAGGTGCCTGAACACCAAATGAATGAACTCTAAACAATCTGGTGATTTCATTACCAAAGCCTTGGACTGTAAATTATTCTCTCTCTCTCTCTCTGTGCCATCAATACAATGGTTATTCAAGTTAAATAAATCATACTTGGTTCATATTTAATTTTCAAATTTTATGTGCAGGGCTCTTCATATAATACAGAGCAGTCTGGAATTTCTCATTAAAATGAATATATTTATGTTAGTAATACACATAGCCTCATGAGTATACATATATAGAGAAAATGTCCTATATTCGATAGCTGTTATTAAATCAGATGATATGGACCAATGGTTTTCAAATGTCTTTTTGCTAGGGAATCTTTCATTCAATGGAAATCTTAACTGGAAATCTAATATATAAAACAAATACAAATGTGGTACATTGGTTGAAGAAAAACAGAGTTAAGATTAGGCATAAGATCATCTGAGAAAACTATTCAAACATATGAGAAGATAATATTTTGAAATAAAGTTGTGAAAAAATTTATATTATACTCATCAGTTATAGAAATAACTCATGTCTATTACAGTAGATCATTACTATAATGATGAAATTAAAACTAGATTTTTTCCCATCCAACTAGATAACCATTGCTAAGCATTATGGACTACATTTTTCC